ACACAACAATATCACACAATATATTTTTTAAGGTAAAAAAAAAAGTAGAATACATCATTGTGTAATGTCGCGCAATCTATATAGTTAAATTTGCCTAATAAGATAAGGTTGTGTGTTGTTTAATTTATTTTTGAATCGTTATCATTAAATATGTAACCATGTTTTTTTAATTATGAACTAGAGTTTATTAATAAATTTTGGAGGTTTTAAACTTTACTTCTCGAGAGAGAAAATGTGCCAGAGAAAGACAACCACTAGAATAGGATAATGTCAGTTAAAAAAAAAACAAAAAACAAAGAAAAGTTTATGGACTGACATGCACGCACGTGTTCGTGAGAGTCAACTTCCATTGTTCATTGGACCTGCACACATAGTACTCACGTTTAAAATAAAAATAAATGTTAAAATATATTTTTAATCATTTAATTTTAAATAAAATTTTAATTTTATAAAATATTTTTTTAATTTTTAAATTTTAATATCATTAATTTTAAATGAATATATTTTATGTCAATTTTTATTATTTTAAAAAATTAAAATTAAATATATCAATAATTAAGAATATTTTGTTAATATTTAAAAATTTATTGAAGTAAAATTAATAGTGTTAGAATTAAAAGATTAAGAAGATACTTTATAAAATTAATTAATTAAAATAAAATATTATTTAAAGTTAAAGGATTATTAAAAATAAATGATAAACACACAAAAAGGAATACCACCTATTAAAATATTTTTAATTTTAATGAAATTATATTTTTAATAAATTAATTATCTATTTTTAAATAATTATTATATTTTTATTTTTATTTTTATTTAATAAGATATTTTATTTAAAGATGAAATGTTAACTGATTTACTTATTAAAAATATTTTTTTAAAAAAAATCAATAAGAGCAATTCCTTAGATATGCATTAAAAAGCCTCTCTTCATCCCTCGATTGGTGTCATTATAATTTTAATCTTCAATTTTGCTCTTTAATTTTTTTAATAGATAAGTTAAATCCTCACAACACACTAGAATTAGAGCATATTTTTATCCTATTTAATTTTAATTAAAAACTATATGAATTTTGTAGTATTACCGGCTTGTAAATTTATTGTGGTACTATAACTAGAAGAATACCAATAAACCTAATTTTAACCAAGGATATGAATTAGTCCGACAGATTAAATTAACACCAGAGTATGATTTTTCTTGTAAAACGGTGCAACTATATTTTTTTTATTTATATCATAAAAAATTTATTATAGGATTATAATGTAATCCATCCAAGGGCAGATCTACCGCGTCAGGGCTCGTTGACCTGCAGAAGCGAATGAGCAATAAGGCAGGCAGCGACGCGTGGCAATATTTAAGAAATCAACAAAAAACCCCTTATTCTAAAACACTTCTAATTATCTTATCAAAATTAAAAAAAATTATTGAGTTCTTAACTTTGTCTAAAGAATAAAATAAATTTTTAACTTTACCCATAGTCAAATAAAAAAATTAAATTTACATCATATTATCTCTCACATATCATGCAAATAAAGATAATATTTGAAAAACATAATCAATTCTGAGAAATACTTAGGTAAACTAGGTGCACTACGTTATTTGTGATTTATCCAATAAAAATATGATATTTAATAATATTAAATATAAATTAATTTTAATATTAATGATAATATATAGAAAAAAAAGCAATAAATCAAATATACATTATATTATAAAAATAAAATTAATTTAAATAATATCACATAAAAATTTATTTAAATTATTTGAGTCATTTTAATTTAACAGACCATAAATGATACAAGGCGCTCAATCTATTTAAATATTTCTCATTGATTGTTCGTCAATATGGCAAAAGAATCTTTCTAAAAATGGTTCTATAATATAAACTGAAGGGAGGGATTATATATTATCTTAGATATAAAATATAATTTAAAATAAATATGAAATTAAAGACAAGTACTGGCATTGCTCGTTAAAGGTAAATCTCTCGCAATACAAACTAAAAAGACATTTCGCCACTTATTTATAGAAATTCGGGCACATGTTTTATCCTGGGCCGTTGAGCAGTTGACCTTTTCGCAGGTTTTCTTCCGATCATAGACGTTGGAGCTTTGCCAATCTACAAGATTGGTTATGACTAGCTTGGTCAACTCTATAAATTTTAAAGACATAGTATATATGCAGAAGACATAGTCCATTCATCGAATTTAATTATGAAAAATTAATTATTTGATTAGTTTAGCTTTATTTTAATTTAGTGCAATTTAATCTCTACAATTTAAAATATTTTAAACTTTTGGTCCCTGAAATTTAAAGAAATAGATCTAGTATTTATAATTTTATTTTTAAAAATATAAGAATTAGCATTTTCGATAGTTAAAAATTATATGAACTAAATTATAATTACATAAGTTTCAGAAATTGAGTATAATTGTGTCAAAATTATAAAAAAAATGAGTTGCATCAAATTAAAATTTTAAATTTTAACCAAGTCAAAATTATAAGAAACGAATGATCATATGTTGGATTTAACTATATTGGGAATGTTAATTAAGTATCCGGTAGCGCATTGATGCTCACTTTGACATGGTTACAGTCAAGACTTGGTACAACTCAGAGTAAGACTTAGTTCCATATAATTGAGAATTATATTACTTCTACTTCTCTGGGTTTGTCACATGAAAGGGAATTTCAAAACGAATAAAGAATGGAGGCAGGTAGCTTGGCTACGCCTGTGGTGATGGGTCCGTCCATATTTAATAATCAAGGAGAAAAAAAAAGAAAAAAAGAATTTCAATTAAGGACTATTTTAACGACTTAATTATAGGTGGGTCTAAATTTTTTTAAAAAATTTTAGGTCAGTTTAGGGGAAAAAAGTTAAAAGAATGTCGCTAGTGAAAAGATCAAAATACCCCTTATTTGTTATGTAAAATAACTAATTGTTAGTTTTTTTTTACTTCGTTTATCAATTTACTAATATTATTTGTAAATTACGCCCATTTGTTAGATAATTAGTAATATTAGTTGTTAATTTATTAACTTTACTTTTAATTTATTAAAATCACAACTAATGTTAGTAAATTATAAGATCTATTAGTAATTGATAACCATGATGTTATTTACAACTGATATTAATAAATTATAAAACTTGTCAGTAATTTACAACTGATGTTGTTGATTATGATTTAATAACTGACATCAAGTCTTATATAATTATTGACATGTCAACTCATATAATTTGCAACTCATATTAGTAAATTAATAAATGGAGTAAGAAAATTAATAATTAGTGATTTCGCATAACAAGATCAAATAAGGGTATTTTAATCTTTTTATGGTATAAATTCTTTTGATTATTTTTCTTTGGACTAACTTGAAATTTCATAATTTTTTTGGACCTATAAGTAATTAAGTCTTTATTATGGTCTATAGCTGAAATTCTGCTGGGAAAAAAAAGGTGGCTCGTGGTTGAAATTAACATGCCTGGATACAGCAAGAGACTCTGGCCTCTGGGTGATGATCGATCGGTGTATTAACTGCACCTGCGATCATTGACTAATTCGTATCTATCCTTTTCACTCACCGGAAATTAGAATTTATTATTTCCTATGTGAAAGGTAGTGCGTAAAATCAAGTCATAGCAGTATCTACAAGCTAGCAAGGTTCCCAACTCTGCCAGAGAAGTTGAGGAAGAAAATTAAGGTCCTTTGATATATCAAGTGTAATCTACATATAAATTGAAGATATCAGTCTGAAAGATTCGTAAGGAAGAATGAAAATTACATAAAATAGCCGGAAATTACGAGAGCAGGGATGTAAAACCAGTGTAAGTTAGCATTTTATATACATTAAGCACCATTAATTTCTGCAAGACCCTTCCAATTTATATAATTCTCTGCATGCCAAGTTTTCTTTTTCGTTTCCTATAATAGAATCCTTTCTTCTCTTGCATCGCCATCATTAATTGGTATTGGTCATTTGGTCCATAGATTGCTTTAAACCTTGTTGGCCTGCGAACAATATAGTTTAAGGACTTTGTTTTATGCTTTTGGGTTACAATCAAATCCTACGTGATGATGATCACCATTCTAAGGAAGCTACAGGAGAAAAAGGATTGCCTTTCTAGAAGCCCTGCATAATTCCTGGTCATCTTATCGTCACTCCAAATTATTCATCCGATCTGAGTTTACCCATTAGCCTGGTAATTTCTCGTGTTTTAACAGAATTGGACGTCAGGGACACTATATTAGTTATTGCCAAATGCAAAACCCGCAGACAAAACGTTTCTTTACTTGCACGTTAGAGCCAGACGCTAGGTTTCTAGAAGCCTTATCAAGGCTGCGGGAAGAGACAGAACCACGACCTCCGCTCCAATCGTAAAGTTACCGTCTTGTTAACCAAATGATCAGATTTTCAAAGACTTCTGTTTCATCGTCTTTCGCTCGAAGATACCCAATTATTTAAATTAATCAAATCATTGAAATAATTCAACAATTTTACCTTCTCGTGGTTAAAATAATTGGATAAATACCAAAGATTATTTCATACATGCACTGTATACACCTCAAACCAGGTCATCAAATTTTACTTTATATAAATACATTGTTGATGAGAATATGTCTACCTATTACCTAATGCATCTTAAAAATTTTGAAAAATATGAAACTTACTCCCACCACTAGCAACTTTTCAGGAAGCTACTGAGAACGTAGAAGAAAAAAAACCTTAAAAAGACAGAAGACGACAAAAAAGAAAAGTCGAACGTCGTAATTCATGAACCATAATCTCAGAGGCGAGGCCGTTCACAAGGACCAATAACAGAAACAAAGGTTGAGAAGTAGTGGAACAGGATAACTTATGTGCTCCTTGCCGCAGGAAAAATAAGCTGCGAGAATGATTGATAAGGGCAGACGATGCTTCCTGCGTCCCTCGTAGCGCTTGGGTTTTGAAAGTGGTGGAGATGTTCAACGATTCACGTCTATATATATGCCTTTTCCACTCTCCTGTGTACTCAACTTACACAACACACATCCTAGCTCCTTCGATATTCTTGAAAATTTCAAAACAAGTTCCTCTTTTCTTCTTCTTCATCTTCTTCAGAAGATCCCCTGTAGACAAAAGAAAAGAATCTGATCAGACTCCGTGATGGCCAATCAAGTTGAGTTTTCCGCCCTCGAACGCATAAAATTACATCTTCTAGGTGAACTGTCTCCGGTGGTAACCCCGGCTACCGATGCTCCTCAAGCCCCTTGGTTTGAGGAAGCGAACGCAACTTCAAGTTCTCAATCTCTCTGTTCCCAGTCTTCCATTTCTGACGCTAATTCCATCATGTCCGATTGCTTTCCTGATATCTTCGACTGCCCGACGCGTCCCGTACCTTCATCACAAAATCAAACGAATCCATTTGAATTCGACTGCAAACCCCAGATAATTGACCTCTCAACACCAAAATCCCAAGTACAAGCTTCGCAGTTCGAAACAAAGTTTCCCAAACTCGAACCCAGTTCCCCAGAAAGCTCTCCGTCAAACAGTTGCGTGCTGGACTTCGACCCTAGAACTCATGAATCGCAGCAGAAACTTCTTTCGAGTAGGAAACCGTCGTTGCAAATCTCGCTTCCGAAGAAAACCGAGTGGATCCAGTTTGGGAATCCGGAGCCCGCAGAGATGTTGGAGCAGAAAAAGTCAAAGGTGGATGAGAAAAAGCACTACAGAGGAGTCCGGCAGAGGCCGTGGGGCAAGTATGCGGCGGAGATCCGAGACCCGAACAAGCGGGGATCCAGGGTGTGGTTGGGAACATTCGACACAGCGATCGAAGCCGCTAAAGCCTACGATCGAGCTGCCTTCAAGCTTCGCGGCTCCAAAGCCATCCTAAACTTCCCTTTGGAAATAGAAACATCGAGCTCGGTAGTTAGCTCCGGCGAGGGAAAACGACTCCGTCAGGACGGAGAGGAGATGGCGGAAGTGGAAGTAAAGGCGTTGGGGAAGAAGGCCAAAACGACGACGGAATCGGAGTCCCAGGAGAATTATACAAAGGACACTCCGTTAACGCCGTCTAATTGGAAGGGTTTCTGGGACAGCGACTTGAACGGGATTTTCAGCGTCCCGCCATTATCTCCTCTGCCTCCCTTGGGTTGTACCCAGCTCATGGTTGTATGATGTGGATATCATCCGCCGTGGTAACCTTTTCCCTGTTTGCATCCCGTTTTGGAGATGAACCCGGTTCATACGTCTTTGTAAAATTTTCTTGAAAATGGATGTGATTCAATTCAATTCAATTTGTTAGTTTAAAGGTTAATTTTATGTATGCAAAAAGATCAAGATAGGTGACTTGAGTCACGAAATCAGACCAGGTTAGAGCATAGCACACCTTGTAGTTTGAACAGCGTTGCATTTATAGATTATTCTTCAAATAGCTGCTCGCATCTGAGTTTCGAATTCATGTCTTTTGAAGTTATATGTCACGTTTTAAGATGTGAAAACACACTCCATTGCAATTGAACACGCTCTAATTTAGTCAGTAATCATACAACTTAACTGTTCAATCACATCGCTGATCAAACCCGGAATAAGATTAATTACCTACGAACTGTGAATCAGTAAACAGACTTAAACACATCTTGAAACCTAATCAAACATTTGCTCTTTTTGTTGTGAAAAAGTGGTGGACCAGCAGTAAAAGTTTGAGTTTGAATCATGCATTTTTAAATTCAACAACCAACCAGGGAAGACCTTTTTCCCTTGAAAAAAGAGGGATAATAGGATATCCTGTTTTATAAATAACTAAAATGTGGTGAAGTAATAAGGTTATTGATTTTTATAAAAGCTCTAACACATCACGCATGGGCATGGCAAATGATATATGTCAAAACAGGAGGAGCATTCTCAAGCCAGTGCTGAAATGAGAACCAAACAAGAAAACAGGCCGGAACATACAATAAAATCCAAGGAGGTTTCGGAAAGCCATTCACAAAGTCAACGGTTATACGAAATGTTCGTTGGCATTGACTAATTATATGTTGTTGTATTGTCATTGACTAAATCTCTGTCGATTGTCGTGCGCGGAATTGCATCACGTGCATAATTCGGAGTTTATACAAGCAAACATCTTGCTAATTTCATACAATGCCTCGTCTGGACACTGCTTAATTAATATAATATTATAAATAAACGAGTAACGTTGCGGCTTAAACTTCATAATTAATCCATCTTTGTCCTGTGATGATGTATATCAATTCATAACCATCACTGCTAAAATCGCCTAGCTATCATACTGTCTAACTTGATTAAATTTACTCTACGGCCATTTAATTAATTAAGTGGAGTGTCACGTGCACTCTGCTGCCGTACACGGCTCAGACTATCGTTGAGGGTGATTGAAAAGTCAAAGCGAGAGGCATGGGTTTGATGTTAAAAATGTATACTTCCTTGATTTCTATTTTTTAATATAAAAAAATTAATCTTTTAATCTTTCAACTTTTAAGTTACTCATAATTTAATTTTTTAATTATAATTTATTGTGACTCGATCCCTCAACTTTTAAATCACTTACAAATTAGTCCCTTAATTTTTGTTAATTTTTTTCATATTAGTTTATATATCACATCAATGATCAAGAGAAGGATATTTTAAAATAATATATGAACATTTTTATCCCTCTTATTTGATAAGAATTTTAAAAAAAATTAAAAAATAAAGACCGAGTTATAGGTGAATCAAAAGTTAAAGGATTGAGTTGCAGCGAGTTATAGTTGATAGACTGAATCGCAACGAGTCATAATTGAGGGATTGAGTTATAAGTAAGTTAAAAGTTGAAGGATTAAAAGACTAATTTTTTCTTTTAATATTAAGACTTGTATTCAAGGAGGGACGAAATATTTCAGACATTAATTTAGATTAAAAATGGTAAACAGAGCTAATATGCCTTAGTTTTCAATCTTTAAAGTAATTTATTACTCCTTTAAAAATGCAAGGGTTTTTTAGAAAGGTTAAATATTTAAAAATGTGAAATATTTATAGTATTTTAAAATATAATTAATGTATTTTTCTACAAACGTGCCCATCATAAGTAAAGAGCTTTATATTTATTTTAAAATATAATAACATATTAAATAAAAATAAACATAAAAATAATATTATTTTGAAAATGATTACTTATTTTATTGTAGGTGAGATTTAATTTAAAAAATAATTTTCTAATAGAGAGAGTAATTGATATTGTTAGGATGTGTTAATCATCTTTGACTTCAACGTTATTTTGAATTTTGATGTCTTACGGTTACCCGATAAAAATGAAACCTGCGCTGTCTTCAAAGTCGTATGCTGTTCCATTCTTTGACTTTCACTCCTTCTCTTCATTCTATTCCATGATCCTTGTTTGCGGCAAAACTAGATAAGAGGGTAAAGTTAGAGAACGTGATGTGATCGACGAGAGATGATCTTTGTTTTCTTTCTATAATTTTGATAAAAATGCATCTTAAAAAATAATAACAAACGAATTGTAGTTACTTCTTAATCATACTTATCAAACCAAATTAATATCTTATGAATTAAAGAAAATTTTTTGCTCTTAATTAAACTATTCTGATAGAATTATTGTGCTTAATATGAAATGTTACGGTGTTACCTTCTTAAAAAAAATGTTGTAATGGCGTTGATGTTATTAGAGAGCGGATTTTTGTTAAGAACATGCACAAACATGCATGCGAGCCCCCCTTCACCCAGTTAATAGACATTTGCTCCCACATTGCGGCATTTTTTAAAAATTTAAGAAAAATATTGCACAATTTGATAGTTTTAAGATATTTATTGCTCATGCAAAAATAGTTTAAGGTCAAAAAATTCCCTTCGATCTTGTAACTGTTATCCAATCAGTATTTTATTCACTTCATTATACTGGTCTTTTAAAGTTCTTGCATACAGATTAAAGTAATGATTATGTAAAATTATGACATAATTTACCCCTCATTTTTTTTTCATTATAACTGCCCCTCTCGTTTTATTTTATTGAAATAGGTGTAAGTATTTGACTGTGTTAAACAAATAGTAGTAAATTTTTGGAACAGATGAGGGCAAATTTGGGAAAATATTATGAAAGATTACTTTATAATTCTAGAAGGATTTATATAATGAAAGATATATATATATATATATATCTTAAAATAATTTTTTTGGCCAGAATATCCTAAAATAATTGGATAATAAGTAATTCATGAGGATTGATAGTAAACCCGTGAATGCGAAAGGCCACCTGAGTAGCTTTGACCATCTAAAAACCTTCAATCATGCGAACATGTAAATTTTTCAATTTACTTTTTAAAAATCTTTTAAACCATTTTTCCTTTCTCATGTTTGACTTTTTATTATTTTCATTGAAATTTATGAAAAGATAAAATTGACAAAACTAGTTAATGACTAGTCTTTCCAAGTAAGATGACTTCTAAAAATGATTATTAATTTTTTTTAGGAGGTACTCCGCCAGTTCTTAATATAAAATGAAGTTAATAAATTTTGTGCTTATTAAAAATTGTTATTGGTAATTTTCAAATTATTAAAAAATGTAACTTTTCAATTTTACCATTACTTTTAATTAATGAATATAATAAATTATTGTTTAAAAATTCAAATTATAATAAATTTACAATGGGTAAATTTGGAAAAAAAATTATCACTCTAACTTGATGATAAAAAAAAATTGTCAAGCTTCATCTTATATTAAAGTGCGAAGTAATAATTTATGTATTGGATGGGGGAGTAAATAAATATAAATATATATATATATATAGAGAGAGAGAGAGAGAGAGAGTATTTACTGAATGACTCGAAAGCTTCATTATTGCAGGATTTGAAAAAACCAAAGAATTAAAATATTCCATTAAATGGTTGGAGAACCATGCAAGACATCATCCACACGTGAGACAACAAGACTCTTTGCAGTTACCGCTGGAGCCGGAGGAGTGTAAATGCGCAATCCTTCCATGAGAAAAATAATAACAAGTGCTCTATTAAGGGTCCTTTCTCCTATGTGTGGCACTCCCTCCTCTCCCTTTTAATTATAAGATATCTGTTTCGCATTTGATGAGATATTAATTATATTTTTTATAATATTATCTCATTTAAATTCATTATCTAGAAGAAAAAATATAATGTAAATTTAATTTTTTAAATAGGGATAAAATTAAAAATTTATTTTATTTTCAGAAAAAATTAACAACTTAATTACCCCTAATTAATTTCGATGAGGTGGTTGGATATGTCTTATACTTTTCAGTCCTATTTATTGGTCATTTATAATATATTTTACTAAAATTAAAGAGAATTTTAAAACTCATTAATTTTATTTAAAAAATTAATAAATTCTCAAATTTATTTTTATTAAATAAATATATTTTAATAACATATTTTTTTTTAACATTAAATGGATGATAAAAGGAAAAATTTGTGACAAAAAATATAGGACTATAGAGAGTAATGGAGACTAGATAGAATAATAAACTATAAGTATAACGTTGGCATCGCTGAGGATAAAGAACGGTGGATTAGTCCAAGAAGATTTAATGAGGAAATTAGGAAGTTATAGGATTTGAATTTTGACCAATGTGTTTGAAAATTCTTCCTCGCCAATTAATAAAAACGAGCTTCTCTCTCATCTATTTCTATCCTTTGACTTTGCTTCCCGACAACACCTCAATTATTTTACAAAGTCCAACCATAATATTGACCAGCACCACCTGCTTCCCACACCAACCCATTTTTTTTCCTATTGGGCTTGCAGAGAAGGCCTTCGAGATAATCACAGTTTGGGCCGGACGCCCAGTTTCGGCTTTTGAATGCCCAGTCTTAGTCTCCCACTTTGAACGAGCCCCACACTGCCATTAGAAACACGTGAGCATTAGAAACCCACGAGCGTTTGTTGGCAGCCACAAAAAAGCAAAAAAAGTTGTCTTAATGCAAGCAGAATACAGAACTTATCAAAAAATCAAGATTGGAAGATAAAATTTACATTATTATAAGCAATCGAGAAAATAAAAGAAGAGAATTTTGTTGATGCTGAGTGAAGATTTTTTTTTTTCCACGAGTAGAATGGAGATTTGAAGAATATCAAAAGTGTTTTTCAAAATTTACATGTATATGAACTTTATGCATTAAAAAATATAAAATAATTTTAATTTTTTAATATATAACCGTTACCTTCTTTAAAAAAAAGTTTTTGTATATTGAATAAATTATTTTATATATTTTATGGTGAAATATTTTATTAAATAAAAATAAATATAAAAAATAAATTTAATTTAAAATAAATAATTATTTTATTAAAAGGTGTAATTCAGCTCACAGTTTTAAACGATAGGGTGTGTACGCACAAATATTACGGGAGGGATATTTCAGTAGTGGAGCGTAGAAACCCGTAAAGGACAAGGGTGGCAGAGTGAATGGGCAGAGTGAAATTGAATCACGTGTGGTTCATGCTGTCCACGCAATGAGCGCATTGCCAGATTTTAAAGCATAGATTTAATAGGACCCCAAAATCAGAAACGCACCAAATATTCCAGCACGCGCCGCGCCACTCGCCATCTCTAAAAGAAGTAAAGACAGGCATGGAAATCCGAGTGGGAAAACTTGAGCTTAATGGGACCTGGACATTCCAATTGTGAACCATGTGTTGACAGTTGTTTTTTTTTTTAATATTATATGTTAATCAGCAGCGCGGGATTGGCAATGTAATCCAGTCTATTTCATGGACACGATACGCTGAAGCTGACGGTATTATAGTTGGAGAGTTGAAAAGAGCGATTTAAAATTAAATAATTAAATTAAAATTTTGTATAAAATTAGACAATTAAAACACTTCAACTAGGATAATTTTATTAGAAATATATTAAATATAAGTAACTTTATCATTAAAAAAAATGCTTTTGTTGATGGCACCTTGCTAGAGCTTTCATGCTAAAAATAAAAAAGATGAACTTGAATATATGACAATAGAACATATAATTAAACACATAAAATAATTTAAAATAGACATTTTTTAGTGCTTGAGTTTACAAAGTCATGATTTAATAAATATTTTATTATATTTTTATCAACGTCACTTATAAATAAGGGCTAATATAATTTATTGTGAAATATATAAAATGTTATTGTCGGCCAAATAAATATAATTTAATTTAATTATAAAATGGATTCTTCATTAGAATTAGGATTACACAAAAGATTGTATGGCGCGGATTTCAACCCAATCTGAAATTTAGCTTCTTTCATGAAATGGACTGGATTAGGCAACCTGTAATTTGATTTTATCTAATAATAACTCAAAGATTAACAGAACAGAATTTAGTTCATAAAAATAAAATATTAATCATATTAGTTTAGTACTTACTTAGTTATTTTTTTATTTTTTTCTCTATGAGAAGCAATAATCTATTTTAATTTAATAAACTCAATTAATATAATAAAATTAAAATAATCATACTAAATCCAAAATTATTTCCAATAACAAGAAAACAGATATTTCAATTATAGTCCAAATGATTTAAATGTATAACTTGAACAAAAATAACACTTAACAAACTTTAACAATACTAAATTACAACAACAATTTAAAAACAAATTTAACAAATCGTCATATAATTATTTCCTTAACATCAATTACACTTGAAACATTTGTTAAAAATAAATTAATTATAATTATATTAAATAAATTAATAGGACTGGATTGAGCCAAGTGGTCCAAATATTCAATCTCTTATCCAATCCAACGTAAAAAAATAATTTGATCTTTTTAATTTTTTTAATTTTAAAGAATCAGTATTTATAAAAATAAGACAAGACAAGATCACCTTAAATTGAACTGAATCAGATCGGACAAGAGGACTTTTGTACAGTCATAACTAGAATTACATTTCTGATTGAACGTCACGCGCTCTTTGGAAGGCGTGGTGGCGGCGTCCCCACTTTCTTGGCCTCATACGATGGAGTTGAGTCACTTCCCTCGTGTCTGTTGCCTGCATTTATTAATCAATTGAATGGAGACCTTTTTGGAAGAAAATTGAATGGAGATTTTTGTGCGTCCTGCTTCGGTTCATTACTTCATTATATGATCAACGGGTTGGCTAGATTTTTAATTCGGACAATTTGAATTTATACATTTTATTTTTATATTCTATTATATATTTTTTAAAATAAAAATTATAAATAATAATTAATCTACTCCATTATTAATGTTTGCAATGAAAAGTTAATTTGCATGATTTAATTTAATATTAAATATTTTTATAATTTTTATAAATTGATACACACTAACTGTCTAAATTTAAAATTTTTAAATTACAATTTTTTAAATTTTTTAAAGTGCTAGTTTAAATATTTTTTATTTTTATTTTTAATATTATATTTATTAAAATAAAAATTTATAAAAATTTTCAAAAAAATTAATATTAAATCTAAATTGTCTAAATATATTTAGATGATTAATTTATTAAAGTTATAAAATTTTAATATCAAATTAAATCTGTATTATTTAAATGATAAAATATATTTATAAAAATTTTATAATTTTTTATAATAAATAATATATATATATATATATATATATAATATTATGTCTTTAAAATCTGGACCGTCATCAGTAATCACCGAAACCTAACTCGTGATTTTTGTTCGGTTTTTCCCTTTGATTGATTACTATTGCTCCAAACACACCCCACCCATTATGTTCACCGCCCCTTGAAGGATGGCGAAGTGGACAAGTGACTAACTAATTAGTCATTTCCCACTCCAGCAAAGAGCCCAGCTACCACCTTGGATTAACTAATCTGTAGTATCACGCTTCCTACTCAATCATGAGAGCTTTAGTTCTCTCCGAATGACGATGAATCCCAGGGCACCTTTCTACTTATAGAGCGATATCTGCTATGGGACTCTTGATATTAGTGAATATTCTCACTTGTGTTCAACCCCAAGCATATTAACATTCGGATTCTGATTGGTTTGTGGCTACAGGTCTTCGGTGAGATTTGGGCTTTGACATAGATGGGGCTCAAATTCTTTGATTCCATGTCTGTGTCTACATCTGAGATTGCTCGTCTAGGAACAAGTTACTCTGCTCTGCTCTCCAATTTCGGGCTTCAAGCTACTCTTCCATTCTCTATACACTTCAACTGCCGCAGAGGTAAGAATGAAAATCCCACTGTTTCTCAAAGGCATTCATTTTTTTTTTTTTTGGTTGGATGTTTCTTTTCCTGTGTATGTATCACTGCATGTCGTTTCGTGTTTCAGCAAGCCCGTCTTTTGTCCGTTAAATTGAAATCTCATGTCTGATTTGTTAACTTATCTACTGATAAATTACAAGCCATGGTCCAGTTCCATTGGGACAAATTCAATGCTGGCATTTCACTGACAAAAGTAATAAAGTTTTTGAAGTTTCATTTTGGGGTCTTACAGGGCTAATTCCGATGGCTCAATGGTCCGGCACTTCAGATCGTAAATATTTAGCAGATAATGTTGCAGCAAAAACCAGTTCCCGTGATTTAAATGGAACGAATGTAATTGGAACACATTTAAATGGGGCAGCCTTCAATCTGTACTTCAGAAATATAAGAACGCTCGATGCCTTGGATGACCAGTATGGGGGAGTTCTCGTTAATCCAGATGGGTTGCCAGATAACCCATCTGCCTTTGCACCTATTTTGCGTCTCTCTCTTTCGTATTGGAAGAAGATGGTAAGCCCCTTCAACCCAATCTCCTATATTTCTCGAATTAAACCTACTTAAGCACTAAAAGAGTTAGATATTTACTTGAGAACACATATATTGACAATTTGCAAAACGCAACCATGTTCTGATAGTGACTGATCCCATTTCCTTTAAATGTTTTTACGGGATCTCAGCCGTTAGAACAGAATATCTATCATGTTGTGGGGAATAAAGTCATCTTCTTGCCGAAAACTTACAAATAGCTGTCTGGTAATTGCAGGGAAAGAAGGGAATTTGGCTTAAGTTGCCCTTAGAAAAATCTGACCTTGTTCCCATCGCTGTGAAGGTAATTTAGTTAATTCTTTCTTGTAATATGATTAACAAATTATTAGGAAATAGAATCTATACTTCTATGCATGTTTATGTGAAAGATCCCAGAATGTGTCATGTGCGCCATGTACAGAGATCCCTGAATAAGTCAACAGACACGCAAAAATACCTGCATAATCACACCCAGTGATCTTTCTATATCTGCTTCTGCCTCTTGGTTTTACTCAATCTAGTGTTGTTGAACCTGTGATAACTTTTTGGTCTCAGGAAGGCTTTCAATACCACCATGCGGAGCCCGGATATTTGATGTTAACACACTGGATACCTGAAGGACCTTGCATGCTTCCTGCTAATGCATCACATCAAGTAGGAGTTGGGGGATTTGTTGTCAATGACAACAATGAGGTCTGCTTGCTTCCATTTTATATTAAAATGTAGACAAAATTTCCAAGGAACCTTTTCATGTTACTCTACGTTTGCCATGTTTTAAACCTTATCAGCAATCTCAAGCTGTTCTTGGCGAGCTTGAGTATGCAAGGCAAGCTCTGTATTTGACTGTAATTTCCTACTACGAATTTGCATAGGTACTTGTGGTTCAAGAGAAACATTGTTCTCCTGCAACTTTAGGTCTTTGGAAGATTCCAACTGGATTTATTCTTGAGGTATGCACTGTAGATTCTCCCATCTTTTTTTAACTGTTCTCGAGAAGAGTAGAAATCCAACAAGAAGACAGTGTAACTGTCAAGCCTTGTTTATATTTTTGTTTTTGTATTCCAATTTCCAACTCCAATCTAGATCGCATGACCAAGATTTTACCAGGCGGAGGAGATATACAATGGAGCTGTAAGAGAAGTGAAGGAAGAAACTGGGGTAAGAATTAAAGTGATATGAACAATATATTCCTATGATGCAACCCTGTGTTGGATTTGTGATTGATGAAGTCGTATGATATGATATAATTGGTTCTAATCAGGGCTTTCTTGTAATACTTGTTGCCTTTTGTTGCAGATTAATACTGAGTTCATTGAAGTCATAGCATTCAGGTTAGAACTGAAACATGTAATCGAAAAAGCTGATATAGTAATTGCTGATTCCGTTCAAACATCACATTTTATTCACTGAATTTTTCATGATTATAATATGATCACTAAAAGGTTTGGACAGCAATACCATAAGAAGGCTTGCTTCTTCCGCATAAATCATGGCTTTGGTGACAAAGAATACAACAGGAGCTTATATTTTGATTTAGAACCTTTCACTTTTCTTGTATTTTTCTTGACAGTAAAGATCTAATGAATGTGATGAACATGAGCTGCAGACATGCGCACAACGTGGCATTTCAGAAGTCAGATCTGTTCTTCATCTGCATGCTAAGACCCCTCTCAAGTAACATCATTGTTGATGGCATTGAAATTGAGGCCGCTAAGGTGAGACTCACTCACACACACACAACAGGGATATGAAAACTTTTTGTTGGCTTAGAAGTATTTGAAGGAAAATGATGGAAACAAATGTGGTGGTGCAGTGGATGCCGCTAGTGGAGTTTGTAAAGCAACCACAGATCCAGGAGGATTCAATGTTCATGAAGATAATAGATATATGCATTGCTCGCATGGGGCAGCGTTACTGTGGACTATCACCTCATCACATGGTTTCTAAGTTCGATGGAAAGTCATCTTCCTTATATTATAATGTCATGGATACCCACCAAGATGTCAACTGTATAGGCAACTAAACCTCTTAATCGCTTCCAATATGTATATATGTGATTATATATATGTACATATATGCACGCACACGTTTACATATATCAGGACCAAGTTCAAACCTGACCTCACAGTCTCACACTAAACTTGTTTTCATTAGCATGAATTATCTACCAGGATCTGAGTCTATTCAGGTGAATTAGCTGACACGGACTACCCGTTTAATTTGGGGGGGGGGGGGGGAATCTTGACTCCAGAATCAAAGTGTAAGAAGAGAAGGAGGAATTCTTCATAGGCAATGAGGAAAAGTTTGGAAAGAACAGAAAAGAGACGTCGTGGCGGAAGGGAAACAAAGGATTTGACGCGTCACTGCCACGGTTATACTATAATTTAACAAGTGAGAATCTGAAAAAAGCGGCCATATCCTAGATGGTCCATAACAAAACCCAACAAATGAAGCTTCAATTATTTTCCACTCCATTCAATTCGAATGGACCAATTTATTGACTATTTCAATCTGCGTGTACCGTCTTCCACACAGGTTTTCATTTGTGAATTATTCAATCTAAACATGACAAATCTACAGTTTAATTGGGGAAAAAAAAATCTTCTCTTCAAAAAATTTTCATTAAAATTTTTTTATACTCATTCAGTTTAAAATCATAAACAATTTTTTAATAGGTATCTTGTTTTAAAATACAAATCATTTTAGTGTCTTCTAGAAGTAACAACTATTATATCTTAAATGTAAAAACTCAAGATAAAACTATACATAATTCCAGTTATATAATTTAAGATAAATAAAATATTTCAGTGGTGAATAAATATACAATTGATTGATTAATATTGAATTATATATTATGGTTTCTTAAATAAACATATACAACTGTACAGATTAAACAAAATGCGCAAAACGTTAAGTCGCCAATCAGAGACCGTTAGACTGGTGTATAGTAGGTGTGTTTGGACTAAAGTCGCCAAAAAAATCATTCACCAAAAAAAAAAAACAAAAACAAATAGAGTAGCCAATAAAGCACCATAAATGAACTTTCTTGCACAGTAAATTGGGATGCCTTTTTCTTTCCCTAATAAAAGAAAGTTTTCGCATGAAACATACTTTCTTCTGTCCTTTTTATAAGTTATATTTTTTTAAAAAAAATTAAGTCATTATATAAGTAACTTTTTTTTAATCTCTATAATTTCTATGTAAAATTTTAAAAATATCTTTCAATAAATTCTAAAAGAAAGTATAATATTTTAATTTGTAAGAAAATTCTTCTCATACTTTTTGATCTTATTTATAGATCAGAAAGAGAATATTTATTTTGATCTTATTTATGAGACACTTCATCAATTATTATATTTATTTTTAGTATTTTACCTATTAAATGTAAGAAAATTTATTAAATCTTGTAGTTTTTTTTTAATTTTAAAGTATGTGTATATGATAATAATAAATTTGGAAATTTGTTGAAGTTTTAAATAAAGTTAATAAAATTTAAAATTTTTCTTAACTTTGATAAAATATTAAAAATAATTTATAAATATAATTTGAGAAAGTACATCATGACACTCTTTTTTTAAATATAAGGATAAAATTAAAAAGTAATTTATTTTTAAAATAATTTTATTATTTTAACTAATTTAGTTTAATTTTAATGAACTAGTTAAAAGAGAGTTGTAAAAAGAACAGGGGTAGCATTTTATAAAGATAATAATTAAGGAAAGAGTAATGATGCTTCACCTTTCAATTCACAAATACAGTTTGGTATTTTTCAAGAATTATGGCGGCCAGTGCCGCGAACGCAATGAGCACTGCCCCTCCGTGAGTTCCTCTCCTTTTCGCGCATCCTTTTGCCTAATGTTTGATCCCTCTCTTCATTTTCGATCCATCTTTTTACCAACCTTTTCAATTTGAAACTCGGTATTCATGAAGTTTATTCAGTTGGATTTCAGGAAAGGAATAAATAAAACCTGAGAAGCTTTGAACCTCGCCTGATCTTTCCTAGTTCTGCTCCACTTTCTTCGAATCAACCCCATATTAAAGCCAAAGATTTCAAGCTTTCCCCCATTCCTTTTTTCTGCTGTAATCATCGTCTGTTTCTGTGCCAACCATATAGAAGCTATGATTTCCCCCTTCCATGGTATCTGTATGTTTGAAACCCGGAGTTGATTCGCCATCTTGTTTATATTGATGTTTTTTAGGCATTTCTTCACAAACGAGATAGGCTTGTGATTTCGGAGTTATCATCGCAGAATTTTGGAGAAGGAAAGGAGGATATTTTACCAAATGGGGTTGTTGCCGTCGAATCCGAACTCAGAAAGCGAGCAGGATGGTGGGAAGAAAAATAGTGCGATGGTGCATCTCAATGTATATGACCTTACGCCTATGAACAATTATTTTTACATGTTTGGAATTGGAATCTATCATTCAGGAATAGAAGGTACGAGGTTTTAATAACACTGGCTGGCTGTATTACCCTCACGCTTCCTTTGCTGGAAATTTTTAAAACTTTGCGTTTCCAGCGCTTTATTTTTCTTTGCGTTTGTTGGAGGAAACTCTTATACAGCCTTGGTATTAGCTTGGTTATTAGAGTTTTGGTTTACACTTTCATCTATTATTAAATGATATTATGTCTAATTTTGAATATCGAAATGAAGATGAAAAGAGAATCCGATATTTACATATTGGATGAAAAGTTGCTGTGTCGAGAACATGTCATCAATAGAAGAGCTATCTTGCTGTTTGTTGCATTGTTTTATTATCAATCTTTTTAAAGAGATATGTAGAAGAATACACTGGATAGCGGTGAAAATAGGAAATAGTGATTCAAATGGTCATTCTATGAGGTTTAACTTGATTTACTATCATTTTCTTTATCTTTGCAAATATATTTAAGTTCGATCATTTGAGCGAGTTGAGGGTTGGGTTTTGCAGTTCAAACATGCCTCATGGTTTCTTCATCGAGCCATAAAGATTACACTGCCATTAAGACATGAAATACTAATTACTCCTATAAAAGAAATAAAGAATGTCATTCTTACTCTAGCTTGAAATAACTGTCTTTTAAATCTATGTAATGACGATGCTAAGTAACTTCCTTTTAGTTTCAATCAATTTTTTTTGTCTTAATATCATCTCTGGTGATGTATATTCTCTTGTAACGTCCTCTCTCTCTGGTCTCATATGCTAGTGAATGCCATTGAAATTTTGCATACAGTACTTTATGGTCATAACCTACCTGGAAGGGGCTTTTCTCAATTCCTCAAAGTCTAAATCTTTCATTATTCATTATAATTGTAATTACTGCCAGTTTCTGAATTGAATTATTGCGTAGACCTTCCTTTTATTGTCTATTACCAACACCCTGCAAATTACGTCATTGCATGGTGGTCTTCATTTCTTGTCTAACAGCGTCCATATTGGCAGATATTGTTAGGAAAGGCTGGATCTTATCTGATTTTACTAATTTTCGTGAGTTAGATGTGATAATTTGTTTCCTTCTTTGCCACTGTTCCCCCTTACCCTCTCATGATTTTAGGTGCAGCAAATTGGGTGGGTAGTGTGGGTTGTTGTGGTTTCTTTACTTGAACTAAATGATTTATTCATTTATCTTTGTGTTAGGCGATTGGATTTGGAGGAAGTGACTTCTTTTTATGTTGATCATCTGGCTGACATTTACTTGTTTATTGTCAAGTTATTAGGGAAGGCTTAACATTTGGCCAAAGGAGGGAGAAAAGGTGTAGGCTTAGCAGAAGTATTTATGATTTATTAGACACTAAGGACTTTTTTGAAATATCATCAGTAGGTTAAACTTGGATGATTATTTAATAATTGAGTCAACATAACGAAGGGGATATTTCACTTAAACCTGGTGTTATGACCTTGTAATTCAACATTTGGTTCCCAACTGTGTACAAGTCCTCTCTGTTTGAACAAGTTTGGGCCATGCTATGTTACGCTAACTGACAAGGAGATTATGTGAATCAGTAAAGAACAAAAGAAGCCATACTGTAAAGATAAAGGTGTTGAATTATGCCACCTGAACAAATATTGACCAGGAGCTTGCTTAAACTGCTTTATTTTCTCTGTAGAATCTCGCAATGAGGTATAGTTATCTTGTTTATGGACAGTGCATGGCATGGAATATGGCTTTGGAGCTCATGAGTACCCAGCAAGTGGCGTCTTTGAGGTGGAACCTAGAAGCTGCCCTGGCTTCATCTTCAGGCGATCAGTGTTCTTGGGTACCACAGATATGTCTATTTCAGAGTTCCGTTCATTTATGGAAATCCTCGCAAGTAAATATCATGGAGACACTTACCATCTGATAGCCAAGAATTGCAACCATTTTACAGATGAAGTCTGCCAACAACTAACCGGAAAGCCTATACCTGCATGGGTAAATAGGTTGGCTCGAGTAGGTGAGGAATCTCTCTGCATGTAATTTGCCTGTTTCGTCTTTGTGTATAGTGTATGCTATAAGGCTAGCTTGCATATGTGATACATAATGTGGATATGTATGCTGCCTTCCATTCTATCCGTCATTTATCTGTTGAATTAGATGCTTCTGTGTCAACGCCAAACAAGAATTTGAGATTATTGTGGAGTAGCGGTTGACACTTGTCCATGTCCGTGCTTTGGGGATCTGGTGACCGCGCGTACTTGTCTTGTTTTCATCTGATCATATTTTATTCAAAGTTTCAGGTTCTTTCTGCAATTGTCTACTGCCGGAAAGCCTTCAGGTTGCTGCTGTTGCACATATTCCAGAACGTTTGGCATATTCTGGTAAGACTATGCAACAATAATGTGTAATTTTTAATAGTCTGTCCAGGATGCATTTGTCATGCTTTGTGTATATTTTTTCATTTTAATACTTATTGAGGAAAAGGCAGAGGAAAACCTTTAAAAGTAAGTGCATTTTGTGGTGAAAGAAGAAAAAGAGGCAAAGTTTGAACTTGCTTTGTTTTACCCCATTGAACACAGTAAGATATTCTAGCTTATTCTTGTAGACCACAGAACAAACACAAACGCATATTTTACGTCATAATTATTGAACTACTTGCGTACGAGAGAGATCTCAAGTTTGATCTTTGGAAACTAAAATTTTGGTTACTTCTATTGTGATGGCAATGATCAAAATTATCATGTTTTTACGTGGCATAACACTCTGGACCTTAAGATAATCGAGTTTCATTTTGCCTTTGTTCTCCATCTTGATAATTAATAATTAATATTTAATAATGTTCCCCGGGGGGATCTCACTGTGTGCCATTGTAGATGATGAGGGATCAGACTCTAGGAGGCTGTCTTCATCTGGGGAGAGCGAAAATGAGGACGCTGATCAAAATCTGTTGATTGCACCTCATGTTGGAGAAGTGGCCTTTCTAAAAGAAAATCCTGTGCGCCTGGCACGCGAACTCTTGTGACTCTCATTTGGTTAACAAACATCGCATGAACAAGTCTCTCGAGTTGGTATATTGTATACCCCAGAAAAGAATGTTTTGTAATTTTAGTACGACCGACATACTCTGTTGTAAATTTTTGTACTTTTCAATGTCTGTACTGTACTTATTATGTAGAAGCGACTCTTTTGACCATTGAAGTTATCACTTGAATATAGAAGTTCTTGTAATTTTTCGAGACGGTTGTGGAAATTTATCTTCACAAGTTAGCGAAGATCAACGATGGAATTTCACTGTTATCGGATTCTGACTGCACCCTTTTGATGATTACCTTTTCCTTTTCTTCTTTACATGGTTTTTAGGGCGCTTGATAGGTGAAAATGCAGGTTAGACTTCCATCACTCAGCGTTGACAAGTCTAGAGCCCTGTAACCTGAAGTTTGCTTAAGCATACAAGAAACCCACGTCTTCATGTAAAGTTGTTCTAGGTGTTTATCTTCATGTAAAGTTGTTCTGGGTGTTTGCAGAAACTGCTTTGCAAACACTAGACATTACGTGTTTTACTTCTAGTCTATTTCTCCCCCACCACCATAAAAGCAACATCTTTTTGGGCCTGAACCATAAAAGCAACTGGAAAGAATAGTGGTTCACATGTCCTGCTTCAAGTCATGATCTTGCGCCATTTTGGCGTTCTCTAGAGATGAATACATTCAGAAGCTTCCTCATTCTCTTCTGGTTTTCCATATTTTTCCAATGCTCAATTTAGGTGCTGCATTCAAATTTCCCTGCAACTAAGTGCAGTGATGGGGGTCTCCATATTCATTATCCTTTTCAGATGAAAGGTCAGTTACCCTCTTATTTTCAGTTGCCTTGCAAAGAAAACCTCGCAATTAGTCACTCTCCCTCCTAGTCCTAAGGAAACTTGGTAAGCCGATTGATTTTGACCTCTAAAAAATTGATCTTGTTGACCCAAAACTGTGTCCATCAAGTCCTTCTGGTCTGAACCTTAATCTCTCCCACACCCCATTCCACTTCTATCATGTTCTTAAAAACTACACCTACCTCAACTGCTCCGGCTCCAACCACCACGTTTACACAGTTGACCCTTTATTGTTAGTCCCCAACTCATGTGAGGCTGTGAAAACAGCTGCAATTCCTTTTGAATATAATCCTTATGAAGTCTTGGATTAATATGACAAGAAACAGACGAGAGATTCGCACGCAGCACGTCACACGGGTTTTATTAACTCTCTGTCCTGTTGAGGAATATGATGCTTAGTGGTGATTGGCGTTCATCAAGCCAAAAGTTTGAATGTGTGTGCAGTTGCAGTAAGCATGGGCCTACCGGGTCAATTTGTAGCAACGGTGATCATCGCAAAGATTAATGGGATGAGGAAAAGGGGCAAGAATGAGGGAAGGCTAGGGCGATTATTGGAGAGGTTGGCAGATCTGCGGTACCCATAAATGCACACCTAAACATAATGGACTGTTGTTATTGGTCAACCATGAGTAAAGCCACATTCATATTACTCCCAATATTCCTTTTTAATAGAAAGTTTTGACAAACTCATGAAATTAAAATGAGTTACATAGAATAATAAAATTATTTTAAAAATAAATAACTTTTCAATTTTATCTCTATATTTAAAAAAGAGTGATTTGATTTATGAGATAAGTTTTTATGAAAATTAAAATATTACATTACTTTTTGAATTTATTAGATGATACTTTTGGAATTGTATATCAAATGTTATCAAAATCCAAAAAAAAAAGAGGATTTTTATAAATGGCCAAAAATATCTTCTAGGATATCACTTATAAAAAGTGAGGGGGGAGTACTCACAACACAATTCCTACCAAGCATTAATTCTGCCTGCAACGAATTTTTGGATCATATGAGGTTATTCCATTCATTTTCTTCTCCTCATCTTATCTTTTATATTTGGATTAAAAATGTAATGATTGAGATTTAATATTTTATAAAATTATTATAATAAAACATAAATAATTAAATAAACATGTCTAAACTATTCTCTCCATTTCCATTTAAAAATATAATATATTTTTAGTTTTTTAATGTATAATTAATAAGTTTTTCTACAAGTACTCTTGATAAATAAATTATTCAACATTCCATCTTTAAACGAGACAAATTATTAAATAAAAGAAAATATGTAAAGATGGCATTAGTTTAAAGATAATTAATTAACTTATTGAAAGTATAATTTGGTTAAAAATGTATTATGTTTTTTAATAGAAGGTTATTAAAATATGATATGAATAGTTCACAATGGTAAACTAATTATAGAGTATAAATAAAATAATTTAATTAAATCCCAACCCTTTAATTTTTAATCCAAAGATAAGGATGGAATAAGAAGAAAGGCAAGATTTATATATTTACACTTATATACTGAGTACTTTCATCTAATCATATCAAGATATGTGAATTTTAATATATCAATAATATTAATAAAAATTTTATTATGAAATAAATAATCTATAATAAATACACATGTTTTAACTTAATTAGAAATAAACACCTTAAGTATATAAGGCTAAATGTATAAGTTTTTTTCTAAGAAGAAAAGGAGAGAAAGGAGGAGGAGGAGGAGGATGCAACTCCATATTAAGTTTCATGATGGTAGGCTGTACAAAGTTTACGTGCTCCATTTTAGTAAATCATTATTCACACATTTACATTGTGTTCTTTGGAATACTTCAAAAAGTTAGGACACCCATCTCAAAGATCCAGAGCATGAGACGATGAGATTGGACTATTGATTTGACTTAGTGCAACCGGAAAGCTAACTCTATTGCAGATTCACTAGCGAAGGATGCTTTGAAGTAAATGGGAGATGTGATTTTCCTTACATCTCCTCTTGATTTTATCTGAAATAGTTTAATGTCTGATGCTAGAGTTTAGTGTTCAGTGTTTTCTTTCCCTTTAATGGGAAAAAAAAAAGTTAGGACACTCACTAGCGTGATCAAGATAGGATGGGGGAGGGGAGGGGGGAAAAAGAAAAATAAAATGTGGCCCTCAAGGATTGTGATTATCTGTTTAAATATGAATTCTCCATTTTTAAATATAAAAAAAATTATCACGAGTTTTTTTATTTTTATTTATAAGCAAAATTATAAATTTTAAGAGACATTTATCATTTTTTTAAATTATCTTTCAGAAAGTTAATGTTTATTTTCACTGGACAAATTATTCATATGGTTAATGAAACATTTATCATTTTTTTCCCTTATCCCTCATAAAGTTAATGTTTATTTTCACTGGACAAGTTTGCTTCATTAACCATATGAACAATTTAATCCAAATTTTTTAAATTTCAGATATAATTAACTATACTTAATCTTTTTTAAATTGTGTAAAATTACTTAGTTTTTCTTATATTTAAAAACAGGGAGAGTTTCCTCTATCTTGAAAAGGCAAGTGCCAAGCACTGTGCAGAGAAGTGACCACGAGTTTCGTTTTTTGATGTTTCACTTGAAAAACAAGCCCCCATAACAAATTAAAGAGGAAATGCTTTCACACTGACACTCTGACGCTTTCTCACACCCTTTTCTTCTTAGGCAGCAATGCTTTCTCACAGCTAATGTTTATAATCATCATTATAAAACAAAAAAAAAAGTAATAAATAAATATAGAAAAATAAAATAGGATTAAAAGAAAAAAAAAATGGAGGCTCAACACTAACAGTTTATCAGAGTCTTTCATTCTGGAATAGTGGGCTGGGACAATGGTGCATCGGTCGGCCCGTCCCTGATCTGGTCAAGCTATTTAAATGAACTGTGAGGGGAAAAAAAAAAAGGTTCAACTCAACTAAAGTCAAACAGAAATAAATACAGTAAATTTCTGCTCTGTTCCTCACACGTAAGTCTCACAAAAGGTACGACTCATCTTTTCCCTTGTTCTTCTGCTTTAATTGCATTTACTTCTTTTGCCCCCTCTGTTTAATTACATTTATTCCAATGGAATCCGTACTCCCCTTTTCATGGATTCATTCACAAACACAATTTGTTCATCGCACTTATTAAGAAAATTCAATTTTTTTCAAGTCTATGAAAAATTGGCTTAGTTTTGTCCTTATCTGTAACTAACATCCACAGCAGACATTAATTAACCTAGGTGAAAATGTAAAAACACTTAAAACTATAAATAAGAATCAATATTAAATGTCCAATTTGTGCCAGGTTGTTCATATCTACGAAGCTATCAAACGATGGCTCTTCGTTCACCGTCGCTCCTCTTCATCTTCTCTCTGGCCTTCTCGTTCATCGCATTTTCACATCCAAAACCCTTTATAGTACTCCACGGTATTCGTTTCATATTCTCTCTTCTTTATTTGTTTTCCATATAAACGTTTGGATTCTTTTCTCTGTTTTCAGTCCATTTTGGTTTCTCTGTTTTCTCTGTTTCTCTGTTTTCTACTTTTCTTTGTCACCAACGTTGAATATATCGCTTTTTAGAGATTTCCGGTATCTATTCATAAATCTAGTATCCATTTACTTCGTGTAAAAGGAAGAGAATTATATGTATTACTCAACACACGTCTTACATAAATTTGGTAGGATTTTTAATTTCAAACAGTACACTGTTTAAGCTAAAATGCCGCCTCGTCGTCTTTGTTTTTTAATGGTAGGCATAAATAGTGATTGCTCCAGCCATGGAGTTTCCAACAATCGTGGAGAAATTGACCAACTTCTCTGGTGTTGAAGGACATTGCATGTAATGCTTCCCTGACTTCTCTATTAGTTTTCTCACAGTATGCAGCAGCTAACTCTGTTTTATATCTAAACCAATCTAGTATCTATCCAGTATTAGATATAAAACAGGTTAAATTTTCTACGTGTTTGATGAGGCTGTCTCATTTTGCTCCAGAGAGGCAGGCAATGGAGTTTCTGATTCATGGTTGATGCCCATGCACAGACAGGTAATACATCATCAAAAGAATCAGTGCTAATGAATATCATTATTATCCATATAAAACATCAAATTTATCAACAATGCTGAATGCGTCTTTTGAAATAGAAAAAGGGGCATGCTATATTATCAGACGTTCTGATGGTTTTAACTATTTCTACTTGTAAATTTCAGGTCGAGATTGTTTGTCAGAAGGTGATCGAGATTCACAGACCATTGTGGTAATGTATCTAACCTGGATTTTCCAGTTGATCTTTCCTTCTGACTACTTTTTCCCATCAAAATGTGTAGGTCAAGGAAATGAACATATTGCGTGAGGGATACAACATTGTTGGGCTCTCCCAGGTGAAATATGAGGGCTGAGATTTCCCTGTTTTACTTTCTTCTGTCTTTCCTTTCCATTGCAAAATGCTTCCACGCTAGTTTCCTGTTCATGTCAAATTTCTAAACTTAGATCACATTATTTCAAGACTAATCTTTATAGTATTTACTTGAAAAGTCAATCAATAACTGCTGATTCAGATTCTTGTCATGGTTTGTGAAGGAATTATTTAGGGAAACATGATCATGTCAAACAATTTGTCTTTCCCTTGCGGCCCATATGTTTGTTTAGGAATATTTTTCAACGAGTTAACGATGTTAAATATCACTTAGCTTATTCTACTTAATTTTTTATAGCTTCAACAAGTCACATGTATCATGCTAATGTTCAATTCTAAAGATTTTTGGTTTTCAAAGTTTCAAGCCTGATCTTTGGGGTTTCATTCCTAAACTATTATTTTGTTCAACAGGGCAATATAATTGCTCGTGGTGTTATAGAATTTTGTGATGGGGGTCCTCCGGTAAGAACCCTTTATCTTTGTAAGTTCTATTTGTACAATTTAAACTTTAATCCAATACTATATCTATTTTATGAAAAGCATTAATGACTTTTCCCCTTTTGAGTGTTGAAACAGGTTAACAATTACATCTCTTTGGCAGGCCCCCATGCCGGTCTTGCCTCAGTTCCTGAATGCGGCGTGAGTATCACCGTGGCTTTCCTGGCATTCTATTCCCAAAATTATATACACAAGAATATAACCTCTCCTCATTCTCTTTTCCCTTTCTTCTTTGTTCCTGACTTCCAATTTTATTTCTTTGGCTTCCAAAGTCAGATGCCCTATGCATTATTGTAGGCCAACTGCTCAAATTAGCGGTTTACAGTGACCTTGTTCAAGTAATCACTCTGCCTTTGACTTCACAGAGTTTCCCTTTTTTACTCTCAAAGTGCGCTAACTATTCCATGTAGTGTGCTCGTTTATCTGGATTCATTTCCGTTCACGCGTGTATTACTGACATGCCTTAACTCAAACTGGCAGGAACACTTGGCTCCTAGCGGTTATCTTAAAATACCAAATGTGAGTATTACTTTTCGCATGTCGGAGGCTTCTGTTCAAGAACTTTTAGATTGAGATGGAAAGCTGCTTAGGTTTTGTTATTTTATGATATCTTCCAAATCAACCCATCCTTTTTCCCCTGTGGAGGGAATGCTGACAGCTGAGCCCAAATCTGTTTGCAGGCAATCCATGATTACTTGGAGAAATGCAGGTTTCTTCCTGTGCTTAACAATGAACACCCAGATACCAGGAATTCCACTTACAAGGAAAGACTGAGTAGCTTGGAGAACTTGGTGCTTATCATGGTAAGTTGAACTTGTATGGCAGTTTTTCTTTGATATCCTACGAATATTGGAGTTGACTTTTTGACAACGCTAATTTATCTGCCTGTCTAATTTTATACGCTACAAAGTTTGAGAATGACACAGTATTAATACCAAAGGAAACTTCCTGGTTTGGATATTATCCCGATGGATGCTTCGAGCCGGTTTTATCTCCAAATCAGGTAGGATTCTCAATTCAAATTCAAGCGTCACAGCCTGAAAATTATGCTTACTGTAGTAAAAAATTATGGTGATCCTAGAACATGGTTGTGTTGGTGATTTGATATGAAATGCAGACAAAACTTTATAGAGAGGACTGGATTGGGCTGAGAAGCATGGACGAAGGTGGGAAGGTCAAATTCGTAAGTGTAGGGGGAGATCATCTGGAAATGTCAGATGGAGATATGCACAAATATGTAGTGCCTTACTTGAAGGAGCATGCCGTTGCCTCCCGGAAGCCGGGACCCTGACTTCGACCAACTTGTTCGGGAGCCTCTAGGCCATGCCTGATTTATTGTTAAACCCTCTTGATTTAACCAATGAAATTATGTTTTGTCAGTCAAAAAACTATACTTGTCCTCTTAAAATATAAAATATTTTTCACATAATCTCACCCCCAATAAAGTAATTACCTACTTTTTAACTAATTCTTTTTTATATTTACCTCTATTAAAAATCTTACAATAAATATAAAGTCATATCAATAGAGATTTTCTGTCAATCATATCAAAAAACTAAAAATGCTTTAAATTTTTAAACATTCAATTCCTCAAAAAATGTCTTAAATTTTTGAACACAGAGAGTACTTATTACTGCCACCACTCATTAATATTTATAAAAAAATAATTTTTGTATTCTTAATTTTAATTATGAATAAATTATTGTCTAGGAATGGATCATCAATAAATAAGGGGTAAATTAGAAAAATATTAATTATGTCAACTATACTTTAAAGACATAAAACTTGCAAAATTTACAGGGTGGAAGAGAGTACATTTTCGGGATTATTGAACAACAATTACTTTTTGTTATTTTTAATAATCTCTGATTCACGCGTTCTGCATTTAAATTTGCTCGGCAAGATTGTTAAAAATGGCGTGACACGGTGAGTGAGACTCAGCATTAGGTTTCGCTTGGCCTTCAGCTATCGAGATGTTGAGAAGCGACTTAAATGACTATTAGGAAGGAGTGAAAATCGATACAATGGTGACACAGCACAAGTAACACTGGGAGCTGGTCATTCGGATTCAGGACAGCAAACAAGTGGAATATATACAGGAGGGAGATGGAATTATGGGTTTCAGGTTCAGCCCTGCTGAAGAGGGAACTATTATTGATTTCCTCCCTGCTCATCCCCCTCTCAGTAAACATGGATATCAACACTAATGCCACCCAAATGATTGCTGCTGCTCGCTTTGACTGTGGAAACCTCCTGGTGCCTACCATATCTCAGCCAAAGGCATGATATTCCTGCCAACGCTGCCTGTCCAGCGACCCGCACCTGGTACACTACGCTCACATTTGCCCATATCTTGCTTCCCAAAGTGGCCTCGTATCCTTCTAGATCTGACTCCGTTACCACCACCACAGAACCGTCATCAAATGTTACAAGGTCTAGTGAACCTGCAGGTGCCTTCATTACTATGTTACCCGAGGGAGCATAGGCCATCGCTTTCCTAACCCTAAGGTGGTAGTATTCCTGAACAGCCTGAAATTTCAACATTCCAATCACATAAGAAACGTCCTCACAACTACCACTATAAACAATTCTCAACGCAATTCACATCATGAGAAATTTTCTGCTCAGCATAATGGATCCATTTCTTTTTCTTTTCAACTTTGTTGCGCGGAAAATCAGATTGGAGCTACAGTCCATTTACAATAAGCCAGAGTTCTCACAACACAATCAGTAAACAAATCGTCACTAATAAGTGATAACAGCTAAAACAAGAAATTTCATTCTTACTTGCCACTGAGAGGAAGCCAGAAGAACCCTTGGTCGAATTGACTTCACATAATCATATGCAGCACTAGGTGTCATAAGCTTGTAATGCACCTACAGAAAAAGCTTAAATTGTGAGACCTGCCAGTAAATCTTGTTTTTCCTTTTCTTTCCTTGTAAGGGTGAGGCACTAACCAAGTAACAGATAACAACAGTTGTGCTACGACCGCGCCCAGCTTTACAATGGACATATGTAACCCGTCCAGCCAACGCATTTTCTTAATAAAAAGAACACTTGTTAAAACAAAGTCAAATTGAAACCAACTGAAAATACCGAGTCTAAGCGTATCGTATAGAAAAGCAATGAATAAAATTTTGACAAGGCTACTGCTGATATTCACCAACACCTTCTTGAAACTCATCATTATAGTTTACCTTTCCTTTTCTCTTCTTCCTTCGTCGGTTCTCAAAAGAAGAACGTATTAAAAGTGAAGAGAAATACAGTGCAGAAAAACAGGGAAGCAACAGGCTTAAATTATTTAGAAATATAACTCATCAGTTTCATTTTTTCCATGTGGCTAAGTAAGAGACTTAAATTAAATCTACTATTGAATACTTCAAAGTCCTATACTCAAACAAATGCTTACCATGAATGAAGTCTACAGCAGAGCATATGTCATGCAATGAAGGTGCGAAATAGTAATCTCTAGTAGGAATCATGAGATGGTCAATTCCATGAGCCTGCCAAGTTTAAATATGAATTAAACCACAACCGAACAAGCAGAAAATATATTAAATATCAAATCATTGAAAGCGCTAGATTGAGTTACAGTTTCTAATATGATTCCTGTTAAACTCTTCAAAAGAAAAAAGAAAGTGTAAATTTATTTTCAAAATAAAAACATGTAGCACTAACTTGCAAAAAATTCCACTTGTTATAAATATTTCTTCATTACAAAATGCCACTAAGCCGTCGAAACATTCATAAAAAATTACAGGATCCCAATCTATCAATTAGATGAATAAGTAGGGAGTGTTTCTATTCAGTGTTTCATCACAGGCAGCAGAAAAGATAAAACTATACACAGAACACTCACGTGATAAAGTGAGGTTGAGACCAAAGTCTCATATGACTCATTCAATGTGATGACTCCTCGAACACCCAGCTCCTTTAAGCGGGGAACATCAATAGGGAAAGGAACAGCACCTAATAATATGAACTGAAAAATAAGTGCATCAGAATAAAGGAGAAGCTCACTTTCCCAAAGAACATAAGACCATTATGCGTATCCTCCCAACCAAAAGAATAAGGACACGCCTATGAAATAAGACATATCTGACAACTGATAACACATATTTACAGAATCGTACTAAAGGAGAAGAATATAAGAACATTATCCAACCAAATGTCAAGTAAATACTAAAACCCAAAAATAAAGACACGCCAGAAAAAACATACTTCTCTAATCCTATTTATAACTTACTTCCAACATATTTAACCGGAATTAAAAAAAACCTTGAAACTTAACTTTGTCTAAAATTTTAATAATTTTTCAACTTTGCTTTTATTAAATATACATACTGTGACAACATATTTTCTCTCTCCAATATTTAATAGAGTGTAAATGAAAAATTTGTGATGAAAATTGAATTAAGGTAATTTATAAATAAGACAAAAAAAAAAAACTTCTTTCTCCACCTTATAAATAGGACCATAGGAAATACATCTGATAACTAAGGTTTACACATCTACGTTGAGCAAAGAATTGCAAATTGAAACTTCTAATCCACAAAAAATACCCCCAAAAATCATATAACTCCATCCAAACCACATAAGAAGAAAAGTAATCAGTAACACATGAAAACCCCGCGAAGACATTGATGCATTACATACAGACAAATTGAAACCCATATTCTCTCACCAGTGGAATCCTGCAAGTGGTTCGTGTTGCTTCAGAAATAAAAGGAAAAAAAATCCAACCAATCACAAAAGACTAATATCACTGAACATGAAAGAAAATCAGGGGTTTACAAAATTATACCTCATCAACCTTATCCCACCACCGAAACTCGGCCTGAATCTTATTCCTAACGACATTATAAAGCAGAGTGGGATAGAAGAGAGCACGAGCCCCCGCTCCAACCAGAGCCCTTTTCGCATCTGAAACGAAAAAATTTGCCCCACCAATAACACCATTTCCGAGATATAATTTCTCTTCCTCTCCACCTCCCACCTCTTCTCCCTTCAATTCCTCAAGATGCATTACTCTCTTTCTGGTCAGAAAACAAGAGCAATTCGCGAAGCTTTACAAAAACCTAATCAACAAAATTCCATACAGGAAAAATCAATCCATGGGAAGTTCAATTACACCCCTTCTGTTTCCATGATTTAAACCAGCGAACAGGTAAATTGATACCGGGGGCAAAAATAAAGTAAAATAGCCACTCGTACCAGGCAGTCAGGCAGGTCACAACATTCCAACAGGAATGATACGAATTTTGGAACAGGAGGAACGACGAAGAATGGAACAAGAATTCGAAGTGAAAAAAGAGGAGACGAAATTTTCCAGAGAAAAGAACAGCATATTAGTTACAAATTGATCGGACGCTGATAGCGGGGCGATATGATCGTATCATGCAAGAAATCAAATCTTGGTCAGAAAAAATGAAAATGAAATGAAAAATTGAAAAAGAATTGAAATCCGCAATAAATTTGCTTGGATGAGAGAATCGCCTGGGTTCTACTCCACCTTTGTCTGGACGATATCCGCAATGAAAAGTAAAGGAGGGAGGGAGAAATCGAGAATTGAAGGGGGAGAATCTCAAATGACTTGACGGTGAGATAGAGCAACGAGAAAGTCGTCGAGGGAATGACACGTAAGGAAAACGGGCAACTGATGTGAATTTGCTCTACAAAACTTAATGACCAGCGGAAGATAAATTTACATGAAAAATGATGAAAATACGCTCATTGTTCTATAGAATCAAACATCCACTACTTTTATATATTACTCTTATTTCATTTATAAAATATTTTTAATATATTTTATTATAATTAAAAAAATTTAAAATTTATTAACTTTATATAAAAATTTAATAATTTTCAACTTTTCTCTTAATAAATGTACATATTTTAATAATATATTTTCTTTTTTCAACATTTAATAGAGGTTAAATAAAAAAAATTGCAATGAAAATTTAATGAGATAACTTATAAATAAGATAAAAAAATATTCTCTTTCTATCTTATAAATAAAACTAGATGGAGTAATATAAGGCAAGCGAAATGTCACGATCTGTAATTTTTTATGAGATTAAGAAGGTTCGGAATGTTTCAAAACCTCTCAAAAAGCTCCTAGATAACCTTAAGAGTGTTAGAGAATGTAAGAATATTTTAAAAAGATTTACAAAACTCAAGCCTCAATATTTTAATTTTGCCTTTGGATATTTACATGATATTTGTTATAAATATTTATAAGAGAATTTTAGAGAATAATTGTAACCATAGAATTGATTTAATTTTCATTATCCATTAAAAAGATGAAAATTTTTTAGATTTAAGAAGAGGTGTATAAATACCTCACTCCTCTTTATTTATAAATTATCTCGAGTTTTCAAAACAATAATACTCTTATATTTTTTAAATTTTCTTAACTAATTTTTACCTTCAAACTTTTCCTTTCCTCAATTTAATCAAACTTCCTCCTTTTCAAATAAGTTAGGCCTACCTAATACCTTTCAAAAAAAGATGTAATTGCACGAGTTGAAAGACAAATCCCATGACAGGAAGCTTGGGATTGAGAATTAGTCTACGGACGCTTAAATACTGGAGCATAATAGCATATGCTCTTGTCCTTACGAAAAATATATATATATATATATATATATCACGACAGCATGAAGGAACAATCAGCAACTGGTTCACATCTTGATCTGCAAAGTGCGCGTTCTTCGCTGGTTGATTAGCACAATCGATTGATTTGTGGCCCACTGAAATTAATTTCAATATCCCATGGTTGACACATAATATTTCTAATCTGCTGAATAAGTGGGCATCAGTGTGTGGTAAGGTATGCAATCCCTCGTAATCAGTTTCATCCCTTACATTGAATCAGCGTGAATCTTTATCTTGCTCGGATTGCAATCTAAACACAGCAGAAGTTTCGTTTCAATCCCTTCGAGCTCCACTTCAGTGGAGGCTCCAAAACCCAGACTATGTTGAAAACCAATGACACGTCAAACATCTACTACTGTGAGGAGAATGTGTTCATCTCCACAATTGGTGGCTAAATGTCACGGATGATATCTCCATGACCGTATAAAGACCAATGTAATAAACGATTCGCTGGTTAGCCTCGCACAATATAGGTAAAGAGGGCAACATTGGCATTGGGGGTGTTCTGCCTCAGTTTTCGGGCTGAGTGCACAACTGGTCGGGGGCTAGTGCCGCCTCCCTGATGAGCCCATGACAGGGCGAAACCAGTGTGATCCGTATATAGTAAGGCTTGTCCTGAGGATTATGGGGTCCTCCAGGACGCCACACGGGCGCTGTATGCTGCGCCAGACTCTCAGCCCGTGATATAAAGCTTTGTTAACGTTTTTCAAAGCTCTAGCCTAAGCCAATTAAATTCTCAAACAAATCGAGAGATCAAAAGTTCAAACCATTTTAATCATTTTGAGAATTTAATTAATCATTTACAACAACATCATTTGTGGAATTGCATTATCACATTTAGACTTCGAATAAAAATATATTGAAAAACAATATGAGCTTTTTAAGCTTTAATCATTGAGAGTCAGCCATGAAAATTGGTCAGCTTCGTAGAAACGATATCTAACCCCTTATTTACTCCTTGTTTGGTTGGAGGAAAAGGGAAAAAAAATTCATTAAAATTTCCCTCCCCTTCCCTTATTTGACAAAGTGAGGGACTGGAAAATTAAATTAAATTTTCCATCCTCCCCTTTAAAACCTCCCCAAAATTAGGGGAATTCCTCCTTCCCCACCTTGCATTAAAATTTTTTTCCTCCGTATAGAGAGGCATGGCTTATAATGATGGGATCATTCCATATAGAGAGACCTTTTTTTCCCCTCGGTTCAGAAGCATTTAGCCCAGAATATGAAGAGATCACCCAATTTAATTATGAAAAACTCAACCCATTTAAGCATACCCTCAAGCTGGGTTTTGTAGGATAAATTAAATTTGGTGCGTGTTTAATTTCTGCATGAGTACACCAAAACCAGAATTTCAAAAGTTTTTTTACCTGAAACTAAGAATAATATTAATCCAATAAGAATCTCTGCACAAAATAGATAATGGCCTTCTCCAAAGCCGAAACGACTAGTTATATGGATGTTCCCTAGAGAAGGCATAGTAGCCATGATGACGTGGCTAAAGCCCTTGCTGTATTTTTAACGAGTACACGTTCTCAACATCCTCTACTTGGGGAAAAAAAATTAGAGAAAGAGAAATAAAGAAGGTACCTGGCAGGGCCAAGGGGTGAAACCAAAGCTCCAGGTTCGAGGGGCCAATTTTATATGACTAAATATATTATTTAATTATTTTATTTTAAATATTTATTTTTATTATTATGATATCTTTAAAATAATTTTAGGGATGACGAAATTTCTAGTTTCTTAAATTTGTTTTAATTATTGATTTAATTTTTAAAGTTTTAGCTCTATGAGTCAAGTATTTAAAATTTTATCACCATGCAAAATAAGTCATTTTGTTTAGATGGGAAAAATAAAATAAGGACTAATTGTGTATAATTATAAAATTTTAAACACTTAATTTGTAGAATTTAAATTTCATTAATGAAATCGATAATTAGAATAAACATAAAGGATCAAAAGCTTCATTATATCATAAGGAGATTATATGTGCAAGTAAAAGAGAAATGGATAAAATTAGAAAACGAATGCATAGTTTATAGAGACAATGATCAAAGTCAAAAGTGAAAAAATGAGGGGCTGCAAGGCAATAATTTTACCCCTTGATTTAATCCTCAAGTGCCGTCCCACCATGTTAAAATCGAGCCACAAGAATACAACGTAAGTCTGCCCCTAGTTCTAAGTGATGTAGAAGAGGTATAAAGAAATAAAACACACTGAGATTGTGTTTGGATAGATAAATTTGATTTCAAAATTTAAATTTAAAATTTTATGTTTAAAATCTCATATTTAAAATGTATAAATTTTTTTTATTTAGATTTAAATTATAATGTCAAATTCTTTTGTTTAGATCTAAAGAAAAATTCTAAGTTTTAAGTTATACATTTAAATTTAAAAGCAACTCAAACAACATCAACGGTCCAATTTTAATCAAAATTGGCAGTCTAAACAGTCAACTTTAACTAGAATTGGATCGTCGGCGCCTACTAGGATCAAATGAGAGACTTCCACCCAGACCATAATGTTGATAATGACTAAAGTGTCAGGACCCTAGGTCATAGGGTACAATAATTTTTTAAATTATTAATAATTTAAAAAAATTTAATAATTTAAAAAATTATTACACCTTGCATGGCTTCATGTTATGGAATCATTAAGCAATCATCTCATCATCAATGTTAAGAAAAATATCACTTTCAATATAAGTTGTTAGACAATTATTTATCAATAGATTTCTCATACATTTTGCAACAATTTTTTTACAAATTTCATAGTAGAAAAAAGCTTTTTTATCATTGTTATGGCAATTGATGATATCATTCTTAACTTCAAGAAAGCATAAAATTTTTTAGAGCACAGACATTTTTGAAGTTGAACCAAGGGGAGTAAGATATTTGGACCAAGTTGCAAAATATTGAAACATATGAACTCTTATTGCCATTTTTCGTAAATTCAAAGGGCGTGTTTGCCTCCTGAATTCTATGTAGCACTACCTATGATTGAGATTAGATGACTAACTTTTACTAAGACTAGACTATCAACATCAACTAAGGCTTGATCGTCAGTGTCAACCAGGACAAGATCGGTTGGTCCCAGTCGTCCAATCATGATTAATAGCAGCGGCCTTGTCCAGATTAGCAGTAGCAGCTCAATCCTAATCGGTTGTCCAGTTCTAATCACGGTTGGTAATTTGGTCCTATTTGGCACCGCCAACAAGCTAGTCAAATTATAAAGAGATTGATGCAGAATTTAAAATAATAAGGTTTTTAGAAATTATTTTAAATTATAAAAAAATTGGGGTAGAATTTAGTTTTAAATTTGAATCAAATTCAAATTCATATATTTTTAATTATTCAGATAATAAATTTAGCTTAAATTTATATTTAAATTTAAATCTTTATACATTCAAACATAACATGAAGGTTTTGAGTTAGTCATTGCATTTGACATTTAATTGAAGAAATTTTGTCTGATTCAAAGTGCATACAATTTATTACGCAAGTAACATTGTCGCCTGTAACATGAATCTAATCTCTCTTCTTTCACGATAAACTCTTTCTATTGGATTCACACTGTCTCGGTAGACTTGTCTCGAGAATATTTTCTCCTCTTGCTTGTTGCTAGTATCCTTATCTATATATAAATGGTCCGATTATCTATATAAAATTATATTTCATTTTAAAAAATTATCTTTTATTTTATTATTATTTGTATTCAAATTATAAATTTTGAGGTCTGAGCTCAACTCAATTTAATTGACTTTAAAATAATTAAAAAAATATTTATGAAGCTCAATCACTAAGTTAAGGCCAAATATAGGCCATTATCTCCACCCTTTGCACATGGTGAGTGGCCACAATAGAGAAAGTGCTTCTAAAATTCAAGAAAAGTGATAATTATGGATTTGGGCACTAAACCAAAATTATTTATAAATAAAAGAGCCCTCTCTCAACAAGAATCATTATCAACATCAACAAATTACTAGTTAAATTCATAGACTTCATGTCTGCTACTTTATTTTATTTTTTCTTTTATCATATAATTTTAGTCTTTATTTTTCTGTTATACAGCCAACATAGCTTGCCACCTTCTTTTTTTAATTAATGTATCTCTATTTTTTTGCATCTATATTAATTTTTTTCATTTCGCTATCTCACATCTAGGTAAATTGTGGTAAGAGAGCTTGGGTTCCGCGCGTTTGATTAAAAGTCAAATTCTTCTATCCTTTTAAAACTTCACATCTCTGGCATGCCTCACAATACTTTTTTTTTGTTTTTGCCAAGCAACTACAAAGTTCTTTTTGGCAATGTGTATCATTATTTTTCAAACCCAATTTTTGAATAAAGCGATCCAATGGATTGAAGTCAACAGCTGGCAAATTAATAAACTGATCAACAAAATATTCACAGCCATATAATATGAAAAATAAGCTGCATTGTTCATTGAAAAACATTGTGACTCATTTTTTATTTCTTATCAATATCAATATATCCATTCATTGAATTGAGAAGTCAGGGTATTTAAAAAAGACCTAAATTATCAACAGGAGTGGAGTTTAATTTAGTAGAAGGAGCTTATCTTTTATAACATAATGAATTAAAGTTTAAATTCTTCTTGGATGAAATGCTCACATTCATTGCAAAACAGTACCTTCAATAGGAATATATGTATGGGTTAAAAAAACAATTCAAATTGATATGAACTGACCAAACTAATTATTAAAAATGCAAGATTTTTTGATTTTTTTTATAATAAAATCAATCGGTTTGATTGTGTAAAGTTATGCCAAAGGTTTTTTTTTTTTTAACCTTTGACAAGTTTAATTATTTGTAGCTCATTAGAAAAAAAAATATATTACTCCCTTCATTTAAAAATATAAAACATTACCCTTAACAAAGTAATCACTTTTCTTCAAACTAATCATATCTTTTTATATTTACTCCTATTTAATAAAATATATTAAAATAAATATAAAATAATTTATTTAATAAAGTATTTAAAAAAATAATGTACATTTTTCAACACTCAACCTTTCCAAAAAAAAAGCCTCACGGAGGGAGTACAATTTAGCTAAATAATACCTGCAAAAGCTGGAATTGAGGGCAGGAGTGAGATGATGACTTAATGGAAGAAGCGATGAAGAAGATGGAGGCATTTCAACAGCAGAGATGAAGAACCGACGCATGGACCGGTCACGGAAGTGTCCCTCTCGTGCCAGAACGGGTTAGTTTTGAAATATAAAGAGGCATTAGAAAGCCAGCAAAGCCATCGTGGAATCCAATGAAGATACAGAAACTGAGGACGATGATGATGTCGAGCATACATTTGATCAAATTGGCTGTCAAAAAAGTCATCTTAACGCAGAAATCTCAAAAGCGAACCAAGCTTCTTCTTTTGAAATATAAGGGATATGAATGAACAAAAACCCGCCAAGTACAATTCTACAAAGGCCTTCATCTCATCTCCTCTTTCTTCCTTGTGCTCTCCGCTGTCCTTTAGGATGGAAAATATTTTCAGCGACATGTGGATATCCCATTGCTCTCCGTTTTTGACAGGGTAGAAAAAGAGTTGAACAGAGCATCACCGTATATGTGTATATAAGCTAGCTGTAAAAAGCTACAACCTACGAGTACAAGACAACAAGAAGAACGACAGACGATCATGTTATGGTCAATTGATTACTATTATTCTTGTTATTATTGGCCACTGAAGATTGCTAGGAAACATCGAACGTGATGGAGCATAATTCTATGATATCGGCCTGCGGTGGTACTGGTGGGCTCGTGAGCGTGAGGAATGAGACCGGACGTAACTACAGATTGAATGGGTGATAAGTAAATAAATATTGCGCGCATGGCAGGCTCCCATTGGGGGAGTGGGAACGAATCATGGGACAAAGATGGCTGTTAAACCCGAGACAAAAGTAGAGCGATCTCAATTTAAAACCCTGTTGATGGGGTCCTCTCTCCAGTAAATGCTCAAATCCAGGGGCTGGTTTTGTTCCGGCGGTTTCATCACCTTTGTTTTTTTTTTTTTTATGGTTTTTAATTGGGGTTCAGTTCAATCATATCAGTGTGAGGGCTATCATCATGGGAAGGCAGGCGAAGTGGGTAGAGTTGAGTATGGCGCCATGGGCTCTGGACTCTGGAGCCTGGACCAGAGCTCCATGTGACCCCAACGCGTGTGATCTGGAAAGGCTTTGTTGAATCAGTGATTTGAGGGGAAGCAGGTGTTTGCCCTGCAATTTTGTAACAACCATAATGAGCTGAGGGGGATAACCCCCCAGAACCCCACTTCTGGTCTACCCGTTCTGATGTTTCCATTTTTCATAATAATTGCCCTGTAGGACTACAATCGTTTTTGTGTGTGTGTGTGTGTGTGTGTGAGGCCTTGTTTGCTTCAACTTGTCGGCAAAATTAGGTGATGCCTGCCTCTTATCACTGCCAGGGTTGCTCCATCTCTATCTGTTTTCCGTGTTCTGCCTCAGTCCTTCCTTTCATCCACCCTCTATTATATTTCTATAGCTTTAGCCTTTGTATAATCGTATCAGTACATTGTCAATTATTTTAAAGTAATTAACGAAAGTTAGTTGAATCATTTCTATTGTCTTAAAAAATTGGGAGAGTGACAGTAGAGTCCCAAAATAATCAATTTATAACAGTTAAGTCCCTACAAAATTTTTTTAAAAATCAATTGTAAAAATATTGATTGAGATAGTTATAAATTCAGTTGTTCTAAATGCAAATAAAATATTTAAATTTTAAATAATACTCTCAATTTGCAGCTAAAATTTCTGTTTATAACTATTTTAATTAATATCTATAGCTTATTTGAAAAAAATCTGTCGTGAATCTAACTATCAAAATTTTCAGTTTTGAGTTTTTATTGTCTTCTTCCTAAAAAATTTAATCACAATTTACCTTTATCAAATATATGGTTTTTAAATCCTTTTACCGTGTAAAAATTACAAAAAAAAAGTAGAATAGAAAAAATAATTAAAAATTATTTTCTCTACACAGTAATTTATATATTAAAAAAAAGATCATCTGAGAAAAGACTGAACTATATATTGAGAGGCATGTAATAATGGGGCGGGGTGGGTTCACTCTACTATTTTTTTCCTTCGCCAAGTCCCTACTTTGAATATAAATTCTTCAAATTAAATTTATATTTTAAAAATTATTAAATTTAAATTATATAATTTAATTTAACAGTTCAAATATGCGGCAATCTCTTGTCTCATCTTGAATGCAGGTGCGAAAAGCCAATCCCAAGTGGGAAGGAGTAAGTCATAGCATGTGTGGAAAATATTTTTTAATTGTGGAAGAGGCGTCATGATGGTCCGATTAAGAGAAGCGCAATTCCTGGTCAAACCTGGGACTTAAAACTCCCTGAAAATCAGATAACCCTTTCACAGTGTGAAACCAACACTTGGGCCCCTACGTGTTGATTATCATATTCCCTCCGGGAAACTGAAATTTAGTCCCCAGAAATTCCGCGTCTCCAAATATTTTATTCATCGTCCACGCATTCTATTTTCTCTCTCGTAAAAATTAAAACCTGGCTTTTCATTTGTCCAAAAACCAATTAAATTAAAAATTGGCTACGAGAGAACAAATTCCGCAAACGGAAAATTTATATTAGACCGCTGCAATTTACAGAGTCACCCCTTACTCTTCGGGATGGGAAAATGGGAAGTCATACAAACTAGCCAAATCCTAAGAACTACGTACACCACCCGGAGCAAAAACAACATTGGTGGGTCGAAACGGTACAAAACAACCGAAACCCACCAAATCATTTCCCCTACCAACCATATCTTATAGACCCCAACATACAATAACTCCCGTGTCCCCAATTCCATCTATTTCCCCATTTTCCCAGGCCGTACACGTTCGAGTTCAAAATGTCCAAAGTGCCCTCGTCGTGTACCATCACGATCTAGGGTGCAGCAAATCAAAGGGCCGGTGAGCTATGGGAGCTGCGGCAGTGGCCCACGGGCCAACGGGAATGGGCCGAGGGTGCGTCTGGGCTATCGGGTGGGGGCGGTTGCCACCGGCGGCGGCGGCCGCGTAGGGCGGCACGGCGACTCGCTCGCATGACGGGCACATGGTGAGGGTCGTGGGTGGGGTCATTTGCATGTATAGTTGCGGAGAGAGTTTCAACGCTCTAAGCTCTTGAACTTCCTTCTGCAACCGCCTGTTCTCCTCCGTCAGATTCTCACAGCATCTCTTCAAGAACTCACAGTCTACCTCAGTTTGCTTCAGCTTGGTCCTGAAATTTCAGTTCAGATTCCGTAAATTCTCAAGTTCTGCGAATATGTTTTATTATGAAGGAAGGGAGATCGCTGAAAATATCTTACCTTGCCCTTCTGTTCTGGAACCAGACCTCTACTTGTCTCGGTCGAAGGCCCAGCTGCTTTGCGAGTGCCAACTTTTGCTTCTGCAGAAAAAGAACGACTTCTTCGTCAGCAAAAGAAAGTGTGTATTTAGCTTTTTGGATGCTAAGAAAACTAAGATTTTCTGTCATTAACCAGAGACAAAACAGAAGGGTGATGATTCTTACGGGATTGAGGGTATTGTGCTCTTTGAAGCTTTCCTCGAGAATAGCGGATTGATCTTTCGAAAGCCTGAGCTTTTTCCTGGAGGTTTCGCCGTCTTCTTCGTCACTGATTCCTCGAGAGCAGTCTCTGTCGGCGTCATGCTCTTCTCCGTTGGGCTCCCTCTCACTTCTCTTGCCACTGACGCTCGATATCGTGCTGTTCGGAGACGAAACGCCGGCCTCCTCTTCGCAGTCCACCCCGGAAGGCAATCGGTTCACGTCGATTCCTCGCAGGAAAGATCTTCCCTCGCCTCTGCATGTCTCAGAATCCCGATCTGCACGTCAAAACATAACGAGTCAGGTTAATAAACGAAAACGGATGATTAATTTAAGTCGCACGCAAGGGAAAAGATTTAATTTTAGCAAGAGCTTTGAAGGAGAGCGTGAAGAAAAAGGGGGTGCGAAAACGATTGTTAAATTGCAAAAAGACATAGTGAAAAGCAGAAGCGAGAAAAAAAAAAAGTAAAAAAGGGGGGCAAATTATTCTATCCGAGCGCGTTGGCTTCTCGGGAAAGAGGGCAAGTTCAAAAGGAGAAGGGAGACCAGAAAAGGATAAAAATAAAAAGGTGATAAACCAGAACAGATCTGGAAGCCAAAAACCATGCAGGTGAAGAATAGGAAGAGAGAAGGCAAGAAGAGAGACCTGAGGAGGCGAAGGCGTCGTTCCAAGAGGGTTTGGGAAGATTGGAGGAAGCAGGAGAAGTAATAGAAGAAGGGAGGAGATTGAGGTGCAGAGGATTATTAGGAGGTTTGTTGGGGAAGCTCAAGCTGAGACTCAAACCCAGGTCGTCCTTCTCAACCATGATGGTATTACGTTGCAGACCAAAACCGAAGCTTGTGGCGTCAGGAACCAGTTTTGTGAGTTTGGCGTTGTGGAGGGAGGGGGGGGGGGAGAGAGAGAGAGAGATGGGGAGGCGTGGGATAGAATAGATACACGGGGGAGGGAGGGTTCTTGGGGGGGATTATATAGAAAGAGAGAAGTGCAATGAAGAGTTAATGTCAGAAAGCCCAATTTCCTCAATCATGGCTTTTGCCCCCCAAATAATACAACTCTTTTGTCAGTCCGTCTTCTCCCTCTCGCCTTTGACCATTTGGTAATTTCATATCCACACTCTCTCTGTCTTCACTCTTTCACTTTCACTCTCCAGTAACACCGCAACAACTAACCCTATTAACTGCGTGCCTCCTCAGCTCACTTGCCCCCCTCTTCCGGAAAAGCTGCCATCTACTGCTCATATGCTCATTGACACCTGAACAAATATCAAAGAAAATCATGATTGTACTGGAGGCCCAATTGTGCGGTGTCCATGTCCAAGATAATTCCCCCGCAGAAAATTATAATTAGACCCCACATTAAGAAATTAATTGTTATAAAATTTATTAATAATTGAATTAAATTATATTAATAATACATTATCAATAAATTTTATAATAATTAAATTTTAATATAATTCTCCCTGTCTTCTTCACTCAACTCAAGGAAATGTATGCGGCTTTTTTTTAAATTATTTTTAATATATTTTATCAAAATTAAAAATTATTAATTATTAATTTTATTTAAAAGTTTAAAAATTTTAACTTTACTTCTATTCAATATATATACTTTAATGAGATATACCCTCTATTCAATATTTAATGAATTACAAATGAAAAAATATATAATAAAAATTTAATAAAATGATTTATAAATAAAATTAAAAAATTATCCTATAAATAAAAGTAAATAAAGTATATAATTATACTTACATACATACAAATATACCCGCGTGGAGTGTGCGCATGTATGTTTTACTTTTTTTTTTTTTCCTTTTGAATGAGGTATGAGTGTGTTTCTTAATTATAATAGTGACTCGTTTTAAATTGCCGGGTGATGCAGACAACAGTGTTTTTTTTTTTTTTTGATAAGCAAGGGGGGCCTGCGGTTATATTTATTTTGTATATTGATTAATTTGATATTTGCGTGATTAGTAAATGCTAGATGGGATTATAGTATTATATTAACAAATAAATTCTTAGATAAATTAGGCGCGCTATATTATTTATAATCTATTTAATTAAAATATCTTAAATTATTTAAATAAAATCATTTGTAATATTATTTTAATTAATTTTATTCTTATGATACAATGTATATTTAATTAATTTTATTTTTTCTCTCTGCTATCATTAATGTCAAATTCAATTTATATTCAATGACATTTAAATAATATATTTTTATTAGATAAAACATAAATGACATGTTGCACCTAATCAATCTAAAAATTTCTCATTAAAACAATAAAAAAATAATTATGACAAAGAACATGCAACATTATCACTTATATTTCTCCCTTCGATATTATAAAGAACTTTATATTTTTAATAAATCAATTAGTTATTTTTAAAATTACATGTATTTTTATATTTATCACTGTTAATAAAGTATCTCAATTAAAAAACTTTCTCAATCACTTGATTAAAAAAATTTATTAATTACACTTTATGCCCCTTAATTGAGGGTATTTTTCTAGAAAAATTTCATTATTGGTGCATTAGAATACTCAAAATATCTTGTATTTTTAATATTTTATCTCATAAAAAATATCTTATATTTTTCTACAGAGGGAGCAATGAATTATTTAGCATGCTTATTTATTTGAGCATCAAATATACTTGCGTAAAATATAGGGCCTACAATTAAGTTTGTTTTTAAAAATATAACTTTATATCCTTGTAATTTTTTTTAATATTTTGAATTCTTAGACTTTTATTTTTAAATATTTTAAATTTTTATAATACTGTTCATTGAGAGATTTAAAATATTAACAAATAAAAATATAAAAAATTAAAATATTAAAAAAATGTAAAAATATATAATAAAATTTAAAAAAAATGTTAAGACTTGAAGTTATATTTTTTCTTTTAAAAACTTTGCTTTGTGGGAGGGGACTATCTCTCTCGAAGACATTAATGCCTTTCGCATTTACGCTTAAAGCATTCAAAGGCTCCATCTGGTTCCATTTTTGGTAAACAATCAAATCAGATAAAACTAATCAGTAAAAAAAAAAAAAACAGTGCTTTATTTTGATCAGTTTAGTTCGTTTTAACGAGCCTTGTGTGGTTTAAAAACACTTGTCGCGCATATTTGAATAAAAAGTTTCGTATTTAACTGGCTAGAATCTCTTATAAAATGACTCATGCTTATCAGTTCCGAAGACTTATGCATCACTATTCACATGTGAATACGATGACCCTGTCATTAAATTTGCATCACAAAAATTTTAAAAAATAACTTCATTTTGTAGCTGAAATTAAAAAAAGAAGTTAATTTTCTAAAGCTTTAAATTGACGATTTTGTTCTCACAGATCATGTTTAAAGCCCTCACATGCGTCTCCTAAAATAAAATACTGGACATGCCGTTCAGTAATAGTGAATACTTTCAATCCGTAAGGGGCATGAATAATTTAGAGATTGTTTGGTAATCTATTTTAAAAACAGTTTTTTTATTTTTTTAAATAAAAGAATAAAAAAATTCATTCAATAATATGTTTTTAAAAAGTATTTGAAGAATAAAAAATAAAATATTATTTTAAAAATAAAAAAAATAATTTTTAAGTATTTTGAAATTATTATTCTGAAGAATATAAAAGAATAAAAAATATCTATTTTTATTTTTTATTTTAAAATATGTTTTATAAAATATTAATTCTAAAAAAATAATTTCAAACATGCCCTTAATTTCGTACGTAGTCTGAGTCAAGTAGGATGTGTACAGTATCTAGCTTGCATATTTATGGAAAGAGAGATGATATATTTTTGTTTGATAAACGCGATACCACTTGTGATGTGATTAATAAGAAATTAAAAAAATATTAATTTTGATAAATAACATTTCCTCTAACTCTATTTATAAATTATTTTTAAAATTTTTTACACATATAATTCATATTATAAGATAAAATAAAATAAATAGCATATCTATTCTTAAGTTATGTTTTAATATTTAAAGAAAAAAATGAATGATTCAGTCAGTTAAGGATTAATTATAATAGGTATGTTGTGTTTTAGTAAGAAATTTAATTTGAGAATAAAAAAATAAAATACATCTAATTTATTTTATGAATGGACCATATTTTAAAATATTCAAAGATCTTATCCATAATTTATGAGAGCTTTATTTTTTTGAGACTATTGAGCTAATTTTCTCTTATTTTAACATATTTTTATCATAATTTGAAAAATCATCATGTTCATTAACTCTATTGAATAATTTAATAAATTTTATCCTTTATTTTATGAATCATATATTCCTCTGGTCCTATTTATGAGTGAGGGAGAGGAAAAAATTTAGTTATATTTATAGAAAACTTATCAATTTTCAATGCTATTATATATATTTTTGCCCTTATTAAATGTTTTGAATAAAAATATCAATAACAAGATTTAAGAATATCTATTAGGAATAAAGGTAAAAATTTATTAAATTTTAAGATAAAGTTAATGAGGTTTAAGGGTTTTCTTTAGTTCACGTGAAGCATACTAAAAGTGATTTATAAATAAGATCAAAGAGGATATATTTCAATAAGATACTCAATCCATTCCAAATTACAAAACACTTTTAAGAGAGATTCGGGGTTTCAAAATATAAGACACTTTAAGAAGATTTGAGACTTATTTTAATATTATTTATTCTCTCTCTATAATTAATTTTTGTATCTTCTCTTTTCAATTTATTAAATAATGGGTACTTTTAAAAGTTTATATACTTGTTTCTAAAAATATAAGGTTATTAGGTATATTTAATGAGATTTATTAATATGTAAGTTTTTGTCTTAAAATGTTTTATAATTTAAGATTAATGGAGCATTTTTTTTAATATTTAATGAAAGTTAAAATAAAATTATGATAAAAAAGTTAATAATACATGATAACTTTATGAGATAGTATATTTGAAAAAATAACAAAGAAAAAGAGGCAATGGAGAGTGGGAAAAGAAGGGGAGCAAGGAAAGGCCCAAAATAAATGCAGGTAGCTTTTGGATTGGGGAGGGAGGGCGAGAGTAGGAGATGCAAATCGCAAGAAATCTTGAGGCATTTAAATCCAAAGTGGGTTCCTTCTCCCCTCGGAGAACCAATTCCCTACATCAACGGCTGTCGTCAATTTCTGCCTCTCTCTTCAACGGATGGTGACGATGCACTGTTTCTCCTGTCCCTTCCGAGGGCCCCTCTTATCCTTATCCCATACGACACCCAAATCTTTCCCCGTGCGATTACCACCAGAGGGGCATCCAATCTTTTCCTCTGCGTCGCTTTCTCCACCTTTTCTGCAACTCCGTCTTTGCCTCCTGCCCTCAATCTCCTCCGCATTCTCGCGCGTCGCTTCTCCCCTCCTCAGGCCGTATGCCCCTGCTTTAATCCGCGTGCCCTTCACTCCTCCGATAAAGAGCGTGCTCGCCAGTTCTGCTCGCTAATAATTGTATCCTCGCTTACGTGAATTCATCACCATCTCTGCCCCGAGTGCTGCTTTTCCAGTGCCCTCCAAATTATTTCTCGGTCATTCCACTGCCGTGGAACAGCCAATCAAAATGAGTTTTAATTTTTAACATACTTTTAAAAATATTTAAGAAAAATGGAATAGTAACGTATTTAAATTATGATATTATGCTATAATTAAATAATAATTTAAATTTTTAAAATATAATGATTAAAAGCGTATCAAACTTATAAAAAAAATTTTCCCTCCATTTTATTATATTTAATCTTGCAGGAGGAAAAATTGTTTCACGCAACAGGTCCTTTAAACAATTTCAATATAATGTTAATAATATTTTTTTCTATTGTATCGTTCAAAATCATTTACTATTTATTTGTAATAATATTTTCAGAGACATTGAATGAAAGATAAATTTAATAAAGTATATTACATGTTTTTTTAAATTTACACGTACATAATAAGA